CTTGTATTACATATGGGAATGGAAAGAACACGAACACATTTGTGTTAATGACTTCCAATTAGCTGAGTGCGACCTAATGTCTTTGTCTCTTGAGGCCATGTTGAAAAGTTCCCAGAGATGTAGTGTTTAGGGTTAGAGAACATCAAACTCAAAACTAAAGATTCAAAACCCTGTGTTCTGACAGATTCCACAGGGTGAGCAAAGAGTGAAGATGGAAGGGGTTGGGGAGAAATGGCTGACAGAGGGATTTTGATGAATTCCTTTCTATTTCCAAAAGCAACTTGCAGGGACTCTAAACTGCTCACTGTGACAGTGATCAGTTGTCAAAGCTGGCATTTCCCTTTGTTGAGTGAGACAATGCAGAGGAGAGAAAAGGTGCGTTGTGAAGAGTGGCAGTGACTTCAGCATCTGGTTCTAATGCCAAAACGATATGTAAAATGATAAAAGAGGGGAAACCTTTACCAGGGGCCATAAATTGGGTTGCCCCATGACTTTAGTCAATTGGCCATCTTTTAATTTATATTTCTTTCAGAAAGTAATTTGAACGTTCAAGGATATTCACTGTCTTGGAGAAAATAGAAGAAAAACTCTGGCATCATAGGAAGTGCTTGAGGGTGAAAAGATGAGACCTGGCTCTTGTTTGTGCCGCTCCTGATGAGCTGTATGACTTGGTACCAGGCGTTACCACTCTAAGTCTCAGCCTTACCATCTCCGGAGTATGACACGGTCACCAAACTTACCTTCCCCGACCTACAGCACTGCCCAAAAGGCACCTCTCTGCAGCATGCAGGATGAAGTACTTAAACAAAATAGATTGGGGTTTGGAGTCAACACACTAGAATTCAAGTCCTGGCTTTACTAACTTTCAATGTTCTTCACCCTGTCCATCATCAACTTTCTAACCTTAACATGAACATAACTGTAATTCCTCTTTCCCAAAGTTTCTCTGAAGATTGTGAATATGTAAAGCACAGCCCCTAATACATCTGTTTAAAGTCCACTTGAGTGTTCCCCATGGTTTGGATTCATTTCAAAGGGAAGTCCTAGACAGAAAAGATATTCAGGCATAAAGGCCACATGGTGTGATAGACTTCCTTTGCTTTGAAATGGGAGGTCTCAAGTTCTCAGTCCTGGCTGCCCACTGGAACCCCTAAGAGACAGTGAAAAGGATACCGGAGGTGCTCAACACAGGATGATTTCCTTGGACTTCAGTGGGACTCCAGCCTTGAAATCATGAAACCGCACCAGGTGTTTCTAATGTGCCCTGGAATGCAATCTTTGCTTCTCAAAGATTTTAGTATAAATTAGCCAGAGAACTTGTGAAAAATGCAATTTGAGTCTCTAAGTCTAGGATGGGCTCTGTAGTTCTGCCCATGAAGCAGAGGCTGACCGTGGAGGGCCACAGTATGAGGAGCAAGTGACGGATGGGTCACAATGGTGGTTCTCAACCTTCACTGTTCATTTCTATAACCCAGGAGCTTGTCAAAAACATACCAGTGGGGCCTGGAACTGGCCCTCAAGGGTCTACCTCAGTTTAGGAAGAAGTTTATGTGAATCAGTGGTCTATAATGCTTATTTCCTCTCCTAAAACTCATGAGGCTCATTTTATGATTTTTATAACATAACTTCCATCCCAGTTCATTTGTTCATTATAAAAGGACAGCATTGGATATGGAGTTTATGGGACATCACTGTCAGGAACCTGATAAGTAGGTGACCTCAAACTGTGGGACATCAAGACATGGCTGATCCCTGAAGTAACATGTATTTCTAGAGTACTTTTTGTGAGTGAAAGGGTCCTTGGTAGAGCTCTGCTGTGCTAGTAGGACTTACTATGAAATGACCGCTCACAGAGCAGAGAATTCTCCATTGACAGCAAGCAAATAAGATGCCCCTGCACTTTTTTCCTGCTCTCTGCAACACAACATGCCTGCTTTTAGAAAGTAGAATCTCCAGAGAGGCAACTGATTTCCTGAACTCAGTGTCAAACCAAAGAAAGGGGGAGATGGAAGAAAGTAGCAGCCTGCTACATTTAGCAAAGCAGATCACTGATCTTGAAAATTTCATGGTCTTCCAAAGGAATGTCCTATGATAGATTGCTTTTTTCCTTGATTTTTTCTCACTCTCTAAGATTCTTCTTGTGCTAACTAGCTAAAACATTCTCTATTTGGGAACAGGATTTTTGCCACTTTCCAAGAAAACAATTAAAGAACTCTATGAGGCATTTAAAAAACATAATTCTGAAATTGTTGCTCTGGATAAGCATTTTGTACATAATCAATATAGAAGGTACTGTTCTGCCTAGAATGTTATGAATTTGTGAATACCATAAATTCATGTTAGAGCAACTCTGTGGGAAATGAGACAGAGAAAGAAAAGATCTCTGATTTTCTTGTTTACATCTTTGGAAGTATTTACATCAGCCAGAACACTTACTCTGTCTATAGAAGGAGCTGGGTGACAATCAGAGTGGACAGCTATCAACACATGATAAGTTAGTCAGCAGGGTCTGAGGTCACTGAAGTCCCAGGTTCCTAATTCTGCACTGCACTCCCAGTTCGACCTTCTTCAAACTGGGACCATTTGACTTCCCTGTGCATACGTGTGTGTGTGTGTGTGTGTGTGTGTGTGTGTACACATGTGCATGTGTGCACATCTGTGTATTACTGAGGACTGAACCCAGGCCCTTCACACTGAAATACATTCAGCCTTTTAAGTTTGAGGCAAACTCTCACCAAGTCAGCTAGGCTCAAACTTGCAGACCCTTGACCTTCCTTGTATGTCTCTGACCTGGGCTGTACTAGCCGAGTCCACAGCTGCTGTGGAGTGAGATTTGGCCAATGGCCCCAGATGTCCTTCCCATCAAGTGGCCACCATGTTGCCCTCCTTCCCTTGGTCTCAGAGCCATGCCACTGGTGAGATACACTTTTGGTCATTACTGTAAACCTTGAGCATGTGTGGAAAGTGAGGGGTGCAGGCTATGGTGCTCCAGCCTTCACCCATCACTTGGGGCCCTTGGCACTAACTGCCTTGAATGCCCAGGACAGGTTCTTAAGTGTGGGTCCCTAGAATGAAATGCTGCACAGTGCTGGCACTTTTGCTTCAGATGCAAACCCAGAGGCCTCTGAACACCCAGATTTCTGACTCAGGGGGTCTGGGGGTTTTGCAACACTGGACTAGATGTTTGGCAAGCCCCCACCCTCCTGCAAACCTAGGATTCCTTCACTGGGACGTCATCCTGGTACTTCAAGGGAACGTGATTCCGGAGAGCAGCAGCAGCTTATGCTACCACCTCCCATGCATTCTCCAGTCGCTCCAGCTCTGGTGCCTAAGCCACAGTCACCGATGGTGACAATTCTGACCACTCCGCCCCCAGCTCCATCTGCTGACAGTCACCAGGCTGCCTTGAATTCTCTGAGCCTCCCACGTGCTGCCCGTTCTTGTTCTGCAAAAGCCGGAAGCCCATGGTCTTCTTAAAAGTTTAACCCATCCCCACTGCAAGCAAGACAAAGTGGGCACCTATATTCTCTATAATTAACTGCTGCTCCCTTTCTCACTCTGCCCACAGCTGTGCCCCTCAAGTGCATGGCTCTGCCTCCAAACATGGTGCTCTCCTTCGAGTGGAATGGAGCAGATAGATGCAGCCCTGTGTGAATGCAGGACTGTTGCTGAGAAGGAGCCTTGCCTCCCCGTCCCTCCCAGCTACTGCTCTGCACACTCTTTTAGCATCTTCCTGCTACAGACCCGAGCAGGCTGAGGCTCTCTCCCATCTCTTGCTCCACTAGTACTTTCATACGTCTGGAAGTGAGAGGGGCAGTACCGGCTCTGTCCTCCCAGAGGGATGAGGGTTAGCTGTTGTATCACTTTTGCTAATTGAAGCTGTGCTGGTGGGCACACTGGAGCAAGCAGACCCACCAGGTCATTTCTAGCCCCTCTTGACTTTAAGGGGACTGCTTGTGTCCTGGAAACCAGAAGAAAGGAAGAAGCACGTTTGCAAGCCCTCGAGATTGCCACAAGCAATTCGTTCTAGAATTAGTTAAAAATTCAGAAGAGAAAACCAGGGCAGAATATTATCAGTGCCCAGTGTGAAGTCCCCATCACGTAACAGTGACAGATACTGAGATAATAAAACTGGTGTTTTTCTTCTTGGCTCAGCTTTGTGACTTCCAAGAATTCATCTAACTTCTTTTTTTTTTTAATTGAAAAATAGGGACACTGTCATCCTTCTCAGTGTCCCATTGTTTGGGACATGCCCATCATTCAGGTTGCATTGACTGGACAGCTTAAATATTCCATAGAAAACAGAACTTATGCTTTAAAGAGTCTCCTATATATCAGGAGATCTTATAAAGCTCTCCAATTTCTTTCATTACTCTGACATGGTAGCCAACACTGTACATGCACCCTGAACAGAAAAGCCCATACCCAAAGCCCAACTGATCACCTTGAACAAAGTAATGAACATGGGCACACATCACAACACTGATGTTCCTTCCTGCTCCCTGGATATGCAATGTCAGTTTTCCAAGGCAAGAGCTGAAGTCATCTGAAATACGTAAGGCATCTATACAAGGTCTATGTTTATCTCAGGAACCCCTAGTCTAACCAGATTTCACTCAGCTAGGTCAGGGTGCCTTAAGATACACACCACAGCAGTGGCTGCAAACTTAAAAATTTTTCAGGAAGGAAAAATATCCTAGATTCCTTTTCAGCCGGAGGCCTTGGGCTCAAGGAGCTGGGTGTTGTTTTTTAACTTGGCTTTCTGAGAAGTATTTGTACCGATAGTTGAGTACATATTTTTTAACCACCTTCAACAAGTGTGGATTTATTTATTCTATTAGACACCCATGCCAATTCCAGCAGCCTTTTGGAGAGGTTATCAATTTAGAAATACCAGCTGTTTGGGACACAGCGTAATCTTGTCCAGCCTTCACTGCACTGTTAACAGAAGACTAGCATGTACATGTGAGAACTTTCCTCTTTTCTTCCCATTTTATTACCTTGAGCTCCTTGGCTGTAGAAGAATCTTTGCGCTGACTCCACATCCAAGAGTCTATGAGCAGACTCGACATCCAGAAAATAATCCATTTTGGGATAATCCATCTTGATGTTTTAATCACAGAAATTTGAGAGAAGATATTCACTTGAATGCCTAGAGAGGAAAAAAAATCCATCATATTTTAAATAGAAAAGTATAAAGCATGTATATACTTAAAATTTTTGAATAAGAATATCCCATTATAATGTCCCACTTTTTGACTGACATTTCCAATTCTAAGACATTCCCACCACCAACAGAGCTTTCTTGCTATGAGCAAAAATGCAACCATTAGCCAACATGTATTAAAAGTAACATGTTCTATTCAAGAAAAACAGGCAGTTCAGGCTAAAGATAACATACCAGTCTTTTCCTTGCCATGTATCAGCTGGAAAATATACTGTTAAATTCTCACACTATCGGTTTTCAAAGGTCTATCTGGTAAATGGCATCAGTAAATGTCAGGCATCCTGAGGGTTGATCCTCCATTGATCCGGAGACGTTTAGCTTCTCCAGCAGGGAGAATCGCTTGGGAATCCAACCCTGAGCGTCTATGACACTCACTGACTTGTTTGCTGGAGAAATGCCTTGAGTTCCTTCCTTTTCAGCAATTCCCTCCAGAGCATTTTATAAAGCGCCCTAGGATCATCAACTGCCTGCACCTGACGCTGGCTGCTTTCGAGAGAGGAATTGCAGTTGGCAGAGCAGCGACGATGATTGCAGCCTTGCGAGGATCCCCACAGCACTAACACGCACAGCCTGTGAGGAACTAAGCCTCTTTATCAAAACGCATCCAGCCTCTGGGGTTCCTTTTCTGAGCCCACGGAACCTTTCCTTGATATTTACACAAATGAAGCATCTCTATTTCTGCGTGACACTTTTAAAGACAGCATTAATAAGACAGTCATTAAAATCAAGCTCAGAGAGGCTAAAACAACTGGCTTCTTTTTCTAAAAATACACACTTTCATTTAAGAAACCAAGTCTGGTAAGAAGAAACTTTTAAAAAATACCCAAAGGTTCCCCAACAGCAAAGCATACTTACTGCAAAAATATGAAGGCTACCTGTCGCCCAGAGCAGTTGCAGCCAGATGTCACTAAATATTCCCGGTGAAAGTGAACAATTTTGATTGTTTGATTAGATCAGTGATGAATAATGCATTCCATCCACTGGACTTCCTTTATCAGATAAATGGCCAGAGCGCGTTACCTTAGCAACAGAAGGTGACGCCAGCCTCAGCCTCCCTGTGCCCTCCCCTGTGAAGGAAGAAAATCATCAGTTTCCAGTGTAAAACTTTGGCAGAAAACCATCAAAATGGACATGTAGATTTTACATCATCCAAGACTATTCCCCACCCTACCCCCATGTCTTATGCAAGGAAGTGTCACAGGCATTAGAAAGCCAGATTTCTGGTTTAATCATTTATTTTTTATAATCCTAAATCCCAGTTTGATTTGTAATCACAACAGAATAGTATACTAAATGGTTAAAAATTCAATAGGAGAAAGTTGTTTAGACAATGTTGGGGGGGTTTCAGCTCCTACAGTAAAGGTGACCTAGGGGGACAAGAAATGGGAGGGATGGTGTGGAAAGGCAATGTTAGTAAGCATATGTTCAACGTCCCCCTGTGATAATTAATACACAGAAGCAGTTACCGATATCTTGGCTGAAAATAACTCCTTTTGTGAATCAGTCACTGGAAGCAGCTTAAAAATCTGCTTGAAATTTCTCGGATTTTAAAAGGCATACGGTAATAGAAATCTTAGTGGGGAGGACTCCCCCACCTCTGTAAAGGAAAGGTACCCACATAGGTATAATGTCCAACAGCAGGACCCTTAAAGTTGGCAGATACTCACCAGAACTTGTTTACCCTTTGCAGCAGGACACCGGAGAGCATCAGAGAGCCCAGCGACACAGCTGAGCCTGCCAGCCCAAATGAGCAGCTCCCAATTTCCCTTCAGACTCGAGTTAAAAGCACAGAGTGGGGGAAAGTGATGGATTTGCCCATTTTATATTGCGATGAAATGCAGCCCCTAAGAAGAGATCTGAGTGGAGCTGCTCTTTAGAACACATTAGACTGCTAATTTAAGAAAATTGAAAGGTTTTGTTTTACTGTCTTTTATGTGTTCTTCTCTGCAACCCCCTCAATTTAATTTGAATTTAAAATTATTCTCATGTCTCCTAGGCTCTCCAAGGTGTGGAACACTTTCTAATTGTGAAGGCTGCTCCAGTAAGGTTTGGTGCAACCCCACTTTTATTCTGAGCTACAAAACAAGGTGGGTAGTTAAAATTGTGAGCTGCTTTCCGGAGAGAAATCCAGGGGCACATTTGGTTTCAGATCCTCTTTATTCCCCCGATTTTCTTCCTGCTTCTGGATATGTGGCCAAATCTCCAGCTCAAATCATGCCAGTCTGTCTAAATGCATTCTTCTGTGTGTGAATGTAACAAAATTATCCCAACAACAAGAACGAACTTCAGTAGGTCTCACAGCTTATCCTGGTTTGCTAAAGTCCCTCCCAACCTCAACAAGGACTTGGAGTTTTGATATTTTGAGATCTTTTTAGAAAGGGTATAATGAGGGCTCGAATGGACCCTGCAGCGGTGGCAAACGCATGGCACTGGTTTTTGTTCTGTGGCCAGCTTTTTGTTATCACTGCAAGCTCTCACCCATTGTGTCTTACATCGTCCTCTCCCACGCATGGTGGACCAAGTGGAATTGATTATCAGCGTGATTCGGTGGACAGTGTGCTAGATTGTGAAGAAAGTACTGAAGGGAGATCACGAGACGGTCCTTCCCTATGTGCACAAGTCTGCCGGCTGCCCTGGAGACCAACCAGGGAGCATCAGTTGGGTTTCTTGTGGCCTCTCCTACCCAAGTCAGCACAAGTCAAACGACAAGGTGGAGCTGCAGATAGTTAAGCCTAAGAGAAAAAGAAAGTAGGCTTTCCAGTGGCACACCTGTACAGACTCAACTTTGGACTTTAAATGCTCAAAACTTTGCTCAGACCTGAGGACTTATTTCCTTAGGGTTGCATATCTACTCAGCCCTCAATGCAGACATGCTGCACACTTGACATTTACAAGAGAAGAAAGCTGTCTTCTGGTGCCTTTCCTTACAGTGAAGTGTAGGCGAAGGGTTCTGAAGCCTCCCTCTATTGTGATTCTACTGAAATTATAGTGACTCACAGGAGAGAGAAGGGGAGAGAGAGAGAGAGAGAGAGAGAGAGAGAGAGAGAGAGAGAGGGACAGGAGGGAGGGAGAGGGAGAGAGAGGGAGTGGGAGCAAGAGGGGGAGAGACACACTATGCTGTAACAAACATGGAACATTTAGGTGAATGAGAATGAATGTGTAACTGAAGTTGATGCTAAATAGGACTTTCGGAAAATAGGGTTGATTCCTGGGTAGAGGGGGATTCAGTCATTTCTGGAGAATTGACCAAAAAGGGAAGGGAATTTCTGGAGAATTGACCAAGAAAAGAAGGGAATTTAAAGTATCTTACAAATAATATGAGTAAGGCATGTTTCGAGAAAACTCTTAGTGAATTTCAACCTAAAGAAATGTATTTGGGACGGGGATGACGGATTACTCACTTGTAAAAAGGGGCTTAATTTTACTAGATAATCACTAGATTATTTAACATAATATAAGCAGCTTCTAAACGATATTTTAAAAAAGATTTCACTTGCTGGGAGCCTAGCAGAAGATTACAAGGAGGAATATATATGTGCGGAAATTGTTTTCCTAGGTGGGGAATCATATTAATGTTCAAAAGCCAAGGTCAAATTATAATCAGCTCAGCTCTGTTTTATAATAATCTGCACAGAAGCAATACAAAGATGGTCTACTGTTCTGAGCTCTAACAAAACCAGAGACAATAGAAAGGCCAGGCCAGGTATTCAGACTAATACACAGCACTTGTACAATTAACACCCAAAACATCCTGAGATGTCAGCTGTATAAAAGTTAACTCAGAAGGTGTTTACCATAGCTCAGCGTCTTGAAATAAAAATCATTTAAAAGCCTCAGAAGTAGAATTGTCCTGTGCATTGGTACGAACATGTAGAACTACAAGGATGAACCCATCTAGAATATAGTAGTATATGCAGTTTTCTGTTTCCAGTTTGGTGGTAAGAAGATACATTGAATTCAAAATAGAGATTGTTTCATGATGGACTCTAAGGATAAGTAAAGATGTTGCTTATTTATTATTGAATAACGCAAGACCCCTAAGTTGTGAGAAAGAAGATCACATGATTTGTAAATAGGTAACTTGCTCTTTTCTACCATCTGATTACCACGGGAGTCAGTCTGCTTTTAGTCTGTTAACAAAGGTTCTTGTGATTTTACAATTTTATCGTGAATTTTAACTGTTTGATTGCCTTTTATTCCAGAGCTCGTTAGGAGACCATTAGGCTTTGCATTCGTGGTAGGCTAGGCGAACCCGATGAGTCCTGGTGCCTCCAGGCCTCCTACCTGTGTGAACTCATGGGGAAGTTTCTGTTTTTCTTAAAAAACCCAATTTAACTGAAAAATATTAGAAGCTCATTTAAAATGTGGTGACATCTTAAATCTCTTGGCAGGGCGCCTACATAAAGACACATGAAGTACTAGCTTGTTAACAGTTGCCTGCCCCCAGTACCTTTAGGGAGGTTGGTGCCAGGATCCTCAGGGATACCAGAATCCTTGGACACACAGTTCCCTTATAGCAGACAGAGTAGTACCTGCCTTTAACCTGTACACATCCTCCCGTACACTTTCAGACATCTCTAGATTACTTACAATACCTAGCAAAAAGGAAATGCAATGTCAGTATTTGTTACACTGCATTATTTAGGAAGGAATGACAAGTGAAGAAGCCTGTAGATATTTAGCACTCATGTAATCCTTTCCCTGGACTATTCTGACCCATGGCTGGTGGGATCCACAGATACAGAACTAAAGGTACCAAGGACGGACTGCATAGAAAACTCCATTCACTACCTTTATAAGTAAAAATAGAGATTTGCTCCAAGAGAACGGGTTCCTCTTCGGTGGGCAAGTCATTCTCTTACCTTCCAACCTTTCATTCAAAGGAAATTTTTTCATTCCTTGTTCATTAAGGCTTGCCATCAATTACCAGAGGTATTGTAAACCTTTTATCTAAGGTATTATTCATATTGAAATCTCCCTGGGAGGAGAAATACTTTTAATTATCATCGGTTATTTTTACTTGAGAGTAAGTTAATTTCCAGTCCTTTTGCTTTTGAAAAATGTTTGATAATAGGTGGAAAGTTAAAGAAGGCTGGGAGTAAGGATGGGATTTAAAAAAAGAAAAGAAAAGAAAAGAAAAAAGCCATCTAGGGAATAGGAGCTTAATTTTATTCCATATAAGCCTGAAGTCATATTTTGAGGGTTTACTTACATACACAATGCCAGTGTTTTGTTGGCAGAAATCAATAAGTCCATAAACAGCTCAATTAGGGCAAGGGTCTGAAGCTGCCCTGAAGGTCCAGAGGCAGATTTGTAAATCCAGTTCAGGACATTATACTGAAGGATTCTTCCCTCTGCTCTCTGCCAGTCTTCTGAAACTGCAGTAGAGCACCATGCCAAAGGAGCAGCCTTGGCCACTACGACAGAGGCTAGCAAAGTAAATCCTTCAGCTCTAGTTGCTGGCACATTTGAAAATATCCTTTCTGTCTGGGTATTTTGAAAAGAGTTCAAAGAATGAAGTACCAGAGCTCAAATGTCATCTTATACTTCTGCCAACTGCATTCTAGTTAAGTTGATCCTGTTGGTGATATGG